ATAATTCAGACTAAAATTCTTAAACTCACTGAGCTGAGACTTCATGTCTCATCCATCTCCAAAGCTTAAGCTCCTTGATTAATTGTCCCAAAAAAAAAAGGAAAAACTTAAACCCATTGGTATTCCTATAGGCAAATTTATCTCCTCCTTTTCCATCCTCTCCTCTCAAGTCAAAGAAGTTGTTAGAGGTTAAGTACGATTTCCCGAAAAAAAAAAAAAAAATTTCTTTCGAGCACTACTCCTGCACTCCTTATCATTTCTTCATTACCAAAATCTCCGCGATGATAACTTTTACCCTAAAGTCTATGATTGGGGCATTTTCCACAACATCAGACTTACAATCTATTAAAATTTGCAAATAACATAGGGCTGAAGAAATTGCAAATGAAATAGAAACCACCAGAAGGGGCACCGTTCATCTTTTCTGTGGAAGGAGGAGGAAGCAAAAGTGCGAAACCATTCTTACCGCCCCCTATCCGTCAAGAAAGTTGACGTATAATTGGTTCTGTTTACAAAGAAAGAAATAATGAAAGCGAAGTTCCGACAATCTTCAGCATCTGCGACGAGAATGAAAATACCATCGATAGGAGAAAATTAGGAACTTAAAAAATGAAATTTTGTTCCATTTTGGCCATAAAATCCCTTAAAGCCAGCGAGATCGGCTAGAAAAGGGTTGGTGATTAAAATAGGGAGGGGTTTAAAATGAATGTTGGAGGCTCCAACTATACAAAAAAATAAAATGTAGCCGGCTGCGTTGAACCATACAATATAAGTTGGCAAAGTTACTGAATAAAAATATATCAACTTTTCTTCATTTAGTAGTATTTTCATTTTGTAATTCAATACAACAGCAGCAGCAAAACTACAGACTCCCAAGCTATGAAGCTATATAAGCAATCCATATTTTAATATTGAGGATCAGGCCCACATTCTATTCATCAGGCCTTTCTCATTTCTCAGTTATACTTTGAATTATGACCTGGCCCAGATCCAATCATTATGGGCTTTAAAATGTTCTTTCCTTTGTAGTTTTGTCGAACTCGCATTCTATGGCACCAGCGGGTCCAGCACGTGCTAATAATTTAGGCTTACCCAATTAGTAGGCCTGAGCATCGGGTATATGTATGTTGTGGGTATCTGATTTATTTGAAAAAGTAATTTATTTATATTTGAAAATAGATTGTTAAATATTAGATAAAAAAATATATATTTGTCAAGTGTCAAGTATTGTGTCAAATATTGAGTATGAAAGTCCATATTTCCATACTTAACTTA